TTTTTTTTAGGAGTATGCTCTGATGCAAAGGATACTTATTGGACACTTCCACCATTATTTAATGATACATCAGTTGTATTATAATAAAAAAAATAAAAAGAACGGCAAACAACATTTCTTCTAATCTACACTTCTACTCTACTCTACTCTACTCTACTCTCTCTTTTCAGATGTGATATTTATCATACACTTATGTGTGCGTGTACAGGTGTGTGTTTGTAATCATAAACTATAATTTTATGCAAAATTCTTTTTTTCTTGTCACTACTTGTACATGATACGTCTATTTTGTTAAACAGGACTGACGACTGTGACTATCTTCAAATGAATTATTTATATGATAAAATTATAAAAAAAAAACCATATGATGGTTTGTTTTTAATCCTTTCGTTTTTATATATGATTGATTATCATGAATTTGTTTGTTTCTTTTTTTGATGAGCAGAAAAACAAACAATCCAGGTGCTTTTCTTAATTTAACTAATTTTTTTGAAACAAATGATTGTTTTATTCAGTATATAGATAAATGTGTTGTTGTATATGTGTGGTCCGTGTGATGGGTGGTATTTTGTGGGTTGATCATGCATACTACTAATAATAATAAGTAGTAATGGATTTTTTTAAATTATTTTATTGTTCCATTAGCTGAATAATCTATACTAACTATATTTTTCTAAAAAACAAAAAACCAAAAACACACACACCTTTTCCTAATAATTATTGACTTGCCTTTTGAGGATGTTATTTATCTATATAGAAAATTATGTAATTTACGAGTAAATTAATTAGGATTGTTCAATCAAATGTCTTTTATATGTATGTATGTATCGTTTCGAAACGAACTACACAATCTATCTATTTATCTATTTATCTAGGTATATATATATGTGTGAATTGGTGGTGCCTAATTGTTTATTTTGTAAATGTTTCTTCTCTCTCTTTTTTTTTATTTATTTATAATCAATCAGTGTAGATAGTAAAGTTGTGTTTTTTTTGTTGTGTTGTTCTCAATGCTCAAAAAAGAAGAAATGTGTGTTTGTTTTTAAATTTCTTGCCTGATGTAAGTAAATTCGATCGATTGATTGATTGATTTTTATTTTATGACTTTTTGTATAAAAAAAAAATAAATAAATTTATAGTGATCGGAAATTTGTTTTTTCGGTTTTTTAGACAACTGATTATTTACTGCTAATATATATGCATAGTTTTTCGGATAATTACAATTAGGAATGTATTTCAAAGGAAAAACCTACTGAAATTGTGCAATAGTATACATACAATTAACAGTGAGAATTCTTTACTGGAACAACTCATTTTAGGAAGAGAAAAAAAAAAGCTGATGTGTTAAACTTGACATAAATTATACTGTCAGAGTATGTTTATGTAGTTATGTTGGGACTGAATGTTTTGATCGCTTAAATAACGATATTAGACGCAGCTAATTTCTAGCTTCATGCCTAAGTGCATTTTTTTTAGAAAAAAAGAAGACTATTTCTAACTTGCAAACCACTCACTCACACACTAGAAGCACTGAGTATATTATTACCTGTTATTTGAAGTATGATTTTTTTTTCATCAGTTAGCAACAACGTAAGACTTTGTAAATGCGTACATTAATTGGAGTTGTGATAACAAATTAGCACATAAACGCAATGGTCAATTCAAAGCCCATAGTGGCAGAGATAGTAAAAGTATGAGCAGTAATCGGCTGCGCAGTAAACCCGTCCTTTTGTTGGTTGGCCGATATCGCGCCTACGCCATAAATGACGCAAGTTGGTAAAAGATCGGTGAGCCTTCTGTCCCAGTGCTCAGATTTCGTCAGGTACCAGGCCGTCAGCACTGATGAGACTCCCGAGATAAAGTGGAGCGTTCGACACACCCAACTACTTCACTCCTTATCACTAGTTTAGATACCGACGCAAGCCAATCCTCAAGCAACATTTTGAATTTGAAGAGAGAGAATCGCATCCTGAATGTACTTGCATTGTTGCTTAGGGTAGTCAGAAGACTCTGCATTTTGTCAGAATCTTCACCAAGTAGAACTGTCATCGGAATATTCAAAGTCAACAAGCGAGTTTCTTGGTAGAAGTTCCATCCCTCAAAAGTCAGACGAAGATAATCTTATCTCTAAAATAAAGTCTATGACAACGTTAAATAAGGATGGGGAAAATGGAAAACCTTGACGAACACCACTTGAAGTAATGAACTCCCAAGACAGTTCGCCTTAAGCTCTGACTCAGCCAGCAGTATTCGAATAAAGATCTTGTATAAGATTACTGCACTCTTAACAGCACACGAGTCCAAATCAGTCACAGTCAAATCCTTCATTTTTAATTATGATAAATTGAATAATAAAGCTGTCATGATATAATTATATTTAATATAATATTGGGAGCATCTTGTCTTATGACGGAAACTGGATTTATCACATTAGTAAAAGAATAAAATGGGATAAATTAAGCTGACAGATTACTGACACTGTCATCTCATAGACTATAAACTCTACACCGCCGACTAAGTGAGTTGGAACCTCTCCAAGGTCGTTCTAAGCAAACTACATTCTCGTTAATATATTATTAAGACGAGCCTAAATACCTTAATTTGCAATTAGAAAATATTGTATTGTTTGAGCGAAGGGAAATGATTTAAACATACCAAAAGTCATAGTGATTACTTCAGTTTCATTAAGTTAGGAAGTTTCCAGTCAACGATGGCATGGAAACTAGATGTCCCCCCAGCATAAATGTAACCAGGTTACTCTATTCGGTAACCATGTTTCCCTAGCTGTTAATTACCAGGGGGTCGGTTAACGCAGTGTTAATGTTAAATATAATGTGAAAGCGCTAGTTAGAATGATTCCTTAACAGTTCTCGTACCTGACAATAAATCAGTCAACTTAACCCTGTAAACTTCTTTGAAAGGAAATGGGTGAACAGCTTAGTGATCCGACTTTTTATCGTTCTGGTAGGCAAATGATATAGTTAGGTAGTATCCAAAAGCATTTGCAGAGAAGCTTATTAGGAGAGCAAGTTATACGATAGACCCATCAAGAAGAGAACGCAAGCGAGAATAGTCTTCTGTTCAGTCAGGTGTAGAACGAATGTGTACACAGTATGATTGATGGACTTTTGTCATATACACATCTATTGTGGCTAAAGAATAATTCATCTGCCTTTATTATCATGAGTTTTCTTTTCACAGATTTTGATAGGGTTGCTTTCGTAGTCAAGCGGTCTAATGGTATGTCACTAGTAAAGTATGTGAATTACACATTCCCAATCAATTAAAAGTAGGATATCTTTACTCCTGTTGTAAATACTTAGTACTTAGAAATAAGTTTCTTTTCAAGTGGCAGTATCGGCTGGTGAATTGTTAAGTTTAATCTGTGATTTACACTGATTATCCAAGATACATCATCCAAAAAGAACACACATAGAATTCGAGTTATTCTGTCCAGTGTTTTATTCCTAATCATAAGAGATAGTCAACGAATTGGGTTCCATAATAGATACAGCTTTTAATTATCAAACCCTAAATTGCTCATTGTCCTCAACTCTACTTAACTTCATCGGACATCTGAGGAGAACGCCCTCTAACAGAGATCTACCAAGAAGTTCCCTTGCCCACTTATAGTACGCATGTGATATGATACCACCTGGATACGCCAATGAGATGAGGTCTCAGGACACTTCTGAACAAATAAACAGGCAAAATTAGGTTGCGTTCCTCACTCGCGAAATGCTTTGTTGCTCTAAATTTAGTCTGTCACTGCCCAGATTTCACAGTCAATCATGATGATTAATTCACATATCTTCCAATCATCATCAGCCCCGGACGATCGGCATCCAAAAGAATTCAAATATCAGAACGGATTTAAAAAGCTCGACGAGCTCTCACAAACTCACATCCGCTGTGGCGCAGATAAGACGTGCACCTCGCAACCAATGAGAAGGTATACAAAGTAGCAAACTTGTTCTATAAGCTGCCTTTTTAGAACGGTTAACGATATTTTATGATGGCCCAGTGTCGGGACTGCAGAATGATCTCGAGTTAAGATACAAAGTATTGGGTCAAATAAAGCTGAAATAGCTAACGTGGCAGTAAACCTTTATCAATTGAGATGGTTGGAAAACAAGTTAGGCATATCTACCGACCACGTGCATTAAGCAACGTCTACTTGTTAAGAAAGGTATCAAAAACTTAGAGGGGCAAAACCAAGGCGTGACACCATACCGCGAAGCCATGCACTGTCGCTTTAGGTTACGGCTCGCGCGATGAATGTAGACAATTAGAGACTGGATAACATGACTCGAAATGAACCAGAATCACTAACCGTCTTATCTTAGATTCTGAGTTTAGATATTCCTCTACACTTTTCATCTTCTTCGGATCATATTTTCCAAGCTCAAAGGCATTTTGCTATTACCAATACTTCTGCTTCCGGTATTTATTTCAATAGTTTCACCGCGTCATACTGGTGTGCCGGCTACAAAATCCGTCAACGCATCGTTAAGCTTCAAATGCGACTCTAAATCCTCCATGCATCGAACTTACATAATAATATTGTTTATCGCACTAATAGGTGCTTCCTAACTACTTTGCCACTAAATACCATGATTTTGCATCGTTTATTCCCAAGTAGAACTACTATGCTCTTGTTGATCGACGAAATATAAGTGTGAGTTCACAATGTCACTATGTATAAGTAACAGTTTATGCTACTTTAGTAAGGACAGAGCAAGATCAAAACACCACACTAGACAATATGTTTACCAGCGGTACTTATTAGTATTTGAATATAATAATTAGTACAAAGGGATACCTGAAAAATGAAATACAACTCAATGGATTTATGTATGGGCTGGGCTTCCTGAGTGCAAACTCGAGGTACGCAGTATTCCTAGGGAGACTGGCCAACAGATTGACTCTACAAAAATGCAACGAAGTCAATAGACGCAGTCAACCAGTTAGTAACAATGTAGAACTTCGTACGTTCATACATTAGTCCAAGTTGCCAAACCACATTAGCACAGAAAAGCAATTGTCAATTCAAATCCCACTGTCAGTAGATGCAGTCCTATGGAAACCAGTGACTAGAAAGACAGACAGACAGATACAACGCAGAACTTCGTACATAAGTACATCAGCTCAGGCTGCCATACCACATCAGCACAGAGACGTAACTGTCAGCTTTACCTAGAACTCGTTTCTTAACGATAGCATCGCTTACTCGGAGTGACCAGAAATAGATTCACACGATATTTATTCGAACAGGACCCTTCAGACAATATGCAACATTGATTTTAAACTAAAATTTCTCTTTCCCTAGGTGGATCCTCGGTGGGACCTATCTATATAAAGGTTCGGATTACCTAAAGCCGAATAAATGTTTCGCAATTCAAAAATAGATGAAGGTACTAGCAAGAATTTTTAGTCTAAAATCCCCAACATATACGTTTTTATGATCGTTAATTTATTTAAACCACAAGCTTCAAACAGAAATAACTCCAGAAGAAGTATGTATTTTCAATGTACAGTTTTACTTTTTGTAAGCCCGACTAGCACGACGACCTCTAGATTTCTCGAACTTACGACCCTTTGAGCGAATATAAGGTCGCGTATGGCTTGATGGCGCACCAGGTGCAGGGCCGAAGTGTTTGACGGCGGTTCTTCCTTTTCTTGGTCCTTGAATAAGTACTGTATTTTTCCCTAAAGGACTGAGAACTGCCAGACGATCGAAAGTGATTATTTCTCCACCAGCATGCAAAATACGTTCTCGGGCAGCCGCGGTTACTCGAAGAGCACACACCTGTGAATGGATAGAATCATGAGAATAAACTACTGTGGAGAGATAATTTTAGAAGGAATCTCTGTTTAAACTACTCACTTTCATTTTCGGGAACTCTCGGATTCTTGTATCATTTGTGATGGTTCCAACACAAACAGCTATTTTATTTTCACGCCCACTTTTTTTCATCACTCGCATCAAACGCGCCAAAGATAAAGCAGGTTTGTTGATTTTGCTCATAAAAAGTCTTCTCATTATAATTTTGTTGAACTTTGAACCAGTTCTACGGGCCAAGAATTTGTAAGCTTTGACTAGAAGGCGAAGATAAACATCATCGCTCTTTGGGTTTTTTCTCTTTACCTTCCTATCATATCTGTGACAGATATCGATACCCTAAGAGTAAGAAAATCGGACAATTACATAGAAATCAATTTAGCAAAAAAATGAAGCCACTGTATGAAGCAAACCCAAGTTCATTCTGAAACTACAACTTCTAACGTATCAAGTTCACCGTTGTAGATGGATGACTGATATAGAATTACACAAACTGAAACATGTTACAGTTCTTTTAAAAATAGCATTTGCAAAAGAAATCTAGCATATAATAGTATCCTTAAAGCGTGAATTACTGCAAACTAGGATGAAGTTCGACAATGGATCAAAATGCGATGACTAACAAGGCTAAAGAATGCTGACTATCAATCAATGTCAGTCTAAGTTAAATCTCTTCATTGATATGCTAGCGTTTGTTGAGTGGTAAGATGCCATTGCCGAACATTCCTATGATTAAGTACACGACACTCGTTAAATTAAAGCAGCTCAAGCAGGAGTACTTTAATCCCAACAATTCTTAGTTTCAGTTTGAACATTAGTCGAAATATCAACATGAAATCGTCACGGTTGATTACTCACACTGAACAATAAACAATGTTAACAACGCATCAGGTAGATAACAATGTAAGATACGGTGATGTACAGTGATTCAGAATGCCCAATCTTATTGGTGAGCATAAAAAACAGCAGTGACTTAAAAAGTGAAGGTTAAATGTATCCGTTTAGTTTGCTTTTACCTCATTAAAGCTAAGGAGTCTGAAGATCGATTGAAATATTTATCACTGTTACATGGGTAGAGACCTTGAATGATATGGCTCAGAATCGTCCAGAATCTTCCACATCCGTGCTATTTAGATCTTTAGAAACCCGTACAAAGTTCACTCAAATCAATCGAGGGACAAGACGAGTTGTGCTGCCAAAAGAAACTTTATTAACATTACAATAAGTCAGATGTGACATGACCACCAAAGTCCTTTGATAACTGATATTTGTAAGTGAAATTGAACGTGAATGATCAAAACTACAACCAAGATACGCAAAGACAATATTTTGATTACGTTGAGGGTCACTGGCTGAGTGACAACGGCTACACTACCTTTGGGCTGAACATTGCACTGAAGATATACAAAGATACCAACAAACCTTTTTGATATCTCACTTAGCCAGTAAACTTGCTTAAGGCAGATTGTTGCATAGCACTCACCTTATTCTATAAGCAGTAACAAACCACAACTACCTTATCATGAAGGCAGAATTAACATTGCAAAAATTGCTGTTTATCATTTATCTCAAGAAAGTTGTGAATGATAGTGAGTTAGGAGAATCGAAAAGATGTACACGCTAGACTGATAAGCCTAGAATATAACACACTTCACGTCATTTGTAAACAAGTCTAAGATGAATCAGCATTCATCTGTAAACAGTAAGACCCGCTTAATTGTTGATAAACAAGGTTTCAAGATATGCTGACATGACTGGTAAAATCAGTTAGCTGTAAATCATACACTCAAAAACAATACCACCCGAAGTTGGGTGAACATGGTACGACACTATCAGATGCTTACTTTACCATTAGGCTGTTTGACTACCGTTAAGTTTACAGCAACGAATCATAATACCCGAAAACACGACGTACGACTGAAAGTGCATGAGATTCAGGGCTATAATATTAATTTTACTTATACCTACTATGAACGTTATGACTGTCTTTTATTAATAACCACAACAAGTAGGTTTGGAGAAGACGACAAAACAGTTATTAAGAAATATCAAGACCAAACAAACCATCTCTTGGCGTGCAACGGGACTGACTACCGCCTTGACCTACAACAGTTATTCAAACACTATAGACTTTGAAAATAAAAATCCATTATTCATGGATAATAAGCTGATTTTTGTTTGTAATCAGATTCTAGACCTCAGAAAATAGCTTTTAATATAGAAACCAGTCTACAATAACGGAATAAGCGTCAACACCAATGACTATATACCGAACCTCAGAACCGGTTATAACATTGAAAGTGTTAAACTCTCTTGATAAACTCGATTTTCTCATATAAGCATCAAAGAATGTAACTCTGTTCCGCTAAAGTTATTCTAAAGTTAAGTTACTAAGTGAAAGATAATCGTCAAAGAGGCTCAACAGCCCATGCCTTCTAAGAAAATCAACCAACAGGCCAGCTGCATAGTCTGTTTGTGAGAATGTGAATCCAAAAACTGTCACTCTTTTCGTGCCAACAAACGGTGGTGGCCGACAGAGATTCAGATAAATCTGTACAGGCCTCACAATATGAAAACTAAGTACATAAGCAAATTGGAGCTAACCATTCCACTTGTGATTCGACGACAGCACGAAAATGTCACATATCGGTTTAAAATCATAAGCTCAAACTCTTTATGTACTAGAAAAACAGATAAGTTGATTGGACGGAGTAATGAGAATAATACTTATCTAAAATGAATATCAGAAGCATGAGGACTTCAAATCACAAATAAGAGGCTGGCAATCAATCAACAGCGACGTAGAACTTCGTACGTCCATACGTACATCATTTCAGGTTGCCATACCACACTAGCTCAGGGACAGGTAGAATCTAGTCAAATAAGCGTAAAAAGCCAAAGAAAAATGTTATGAGGAACTCTGAAGGTTAGATTTTCATAGAACACAAAGATTAAATGCACCTGCGCCATTGCAAGCTGTTTAAAGCCATGTCATTGAAGGTCTCTTACCATCGATTACTACCATCTCGCGAGCACCGACCAGGTATTCGACACCTACCGACATGGCTCAGTCCACTTCTCAGTTACTGCATGGATTTATGCCATGTTTTGATCTGACCGCTCTTAGATTTCTTCCAACCTACTCCTGCACCACAAAACATAGCTCGACGAGGCAGTCGGTGGTTGGGCATACGTAACACGTGTCCCAACCACCTCAACTGATGAAGTTTCACTACTTCATCTATTGATTTGCCATCCTTACCCAGGAATCGTTTGCTAACAACAGCATTGCTTACTCGGCTGTCCCACGATACACGAGCAATTCTTCGGAAAGACTTATGATCGAAGACCAGCAACCTACGCATATCTTCTACTCTGGCGATACCAAAACTTTCTGTTTTTCTCAGCAGTAGAAAAGCCGGAATAAAAATCAAGTCTGTTCATGTGTTTCTACGTGATAATGCACCAAGCACACAGCTAAGAATTTATGAGATTGTCTAACACCTCAAGATGTCCAGTTGGAGTCATCCACAGATAGACCGCTATTAACATCGAATATGATAATCATTTCTCAGAAGGATCACCCATTCCATTCAGTAAGAATACTGATGTAGTTACATTCAAAAGATCTTTAATAGCCCATGAGATGACTCCCTCATTTTTTTCTCCCTAAGTCTCCGTATATCATACCGTTTGCACGACGGCGGTAATACGAAACCAAGTATCAATTCGGATAGATGACTCGTTTGTGCATTCACTTGGGCAAACAGACGAGGATGAAAAGCATACAAGTAGGGGAAGCGAAGAGGAGAGGAAGAGCGAGCCAAATCCGTGCGATGAACGACGACTCAGTATTTATAGTCAAACCAACTAAACTAGACATGCGATCAGTGAAGTAAGCAGTGCAAACACAACCAAGATAAAAGCGAATAGCTGAAAATTCAAAAAAAAACGAGCGAATTCCAACTGGTTGTTTTTTGTATTAAGGCTAAGGACAAGCCCCGTGTGTTCGACTGTCGGCTCTGTCATGGTCGGTTGTTGCTAATTTAGTCTGGACAACGGATCCTCAGTATCATGAGTAGAAAACAGTTAGCAAAATCCTTCATCTCGTGAATGGTGGCTTTTGAAGTTTTCCAACTTTCGCTTCAGAAAATAAAATATTTTTGACGTTTGTACTGAAAATTCTGACATTTTTATTGATTGATATATGTTTTGAGTTGCAGATGTTCTTCAGCTGTCGAAATGCTGCCCTTGCATATCTAATCTGTGTCTTCACATCTGCATCAGATCTACCTATAGTATCAGTGATGTTACCCAGTTATTCAAAGTGTTGGCACATAACAGTAACTTTTATTATGTTTTACCCTTAGTTCACCGAAATTTAGGAGGAAAAGCAAATATCAGCAGAGAGGAAGGAAGGACACCTGGTCAAGTAATCAAAGAAAGGATATCTCAGCATGTATGAGAACTAACTAGGTATCACTCTTCTCACAATACCAACGAAGTTCTACCACTGAAAATTGTTAAACAGAATGAAAGATTCAGTAAACGTCCAACCTGGAGGTCATCAGGATCGATTCTCTAGGAATCAGACGTATACCGACTAAATCATGCGCGACACTACGGATCATTGTGGAAAAATTGATTGAGTGGAAATTACCACTGAACATCTTTTTCACTGTCTATGAAAATGCATACAACGTTAAACATCAGTTCTACGAAAGGCTGCAGTCAATCGTCGACAGATGTTCATCAAAGGATTTGACGGTTTTGATGGGAGACCTAAATGCGAAGGCTGGCATAAACAACACTGTATATGAAGACATCATGGGACGACATGGACTGGGAGAAAGGAACGAAAACGGTGAGAGATTTGCAAACCTATGTGCCTTCAACAAATTGGTGGCACCATATTTCCACACAAACGCATACACAAAGCTACATGGTTTTCACCGAACCACAATACTCACAACCATATCGAACATATCTGTATCGACAAAACGTTCGGAAGGACGTTGGAGGATGTGATAACCAAGAGACTAGCCGATATAGCCTCACATCACCACTTGCTGATCGCCAAAATGAAACTAAAGAAGCACTGGACAACGGGGCAGACGTCACACACGTTTAATCCATTCTTTCTTCGGGATACCGTAAAACTCAACAAAGACAAGACAGCCCTCACCAATAGGTTCCAGGCCCTGCGCGATATACTCAATTGAGTGGAAGCAACATTGGAGTACAATTGGAAGGGATTAAGGAGGCAGTCACTTCAACATGTCAGGAGGTCCTTAGTCGCAAGAAGCAGTATCACAAGGAATGGATCTCTGTTGGTACTCTGGCAAAAATTGAAGAAAGGAGGAACAAGAAGGCAGCAATCAATGTCAGCCGAACAAGAGCGGAGAAAGTTACCGCACAAGTTGAATACACGGAAGCAAACAGGGGAGTGAAGAAGAGCATCAGAGCTGACAAACGAAAATATGTGGAAGATCTAGCAATGACGGCGGAAAAGGTTGCAAGAGAAGAAAACTTGAGACAGTTGTACGGAACAACAAACAAGCTCGCCGGAAACTATCTAACTTTACATATCTTGGCAGCATCGTCGACAATCAGGGTGGATTCGATGCAGATGTGAGGGTGCGTATCGGCAAAGCAAGGGCTGCATTTCTACAATTGAAAAATATCTGGAACTCCAAACAACTTTCAATCAACACTGAAATCATGATTTGCACTACAAATGTGAAGACAGTTCTACTGTATGGAGCGGAAACATGGAGAACTGTCAAAGCCATCATCCAGAAGATACATGTGTTTATTACCAGTTGTCTACGCAAAATACTTCGTATTCGTTGACACGACTCCATCAGTAACAACGTACTGTGAGAGAGAACAAACCATATTCCAGTGGAGGAGGAAATCAGGAAGAAGCGGTGGAAGTGGATAGGACACACACTATAAAAAGCACCTAACTGAGTCGCAAGATAAGCCCTCACATGGAACCCTCAAGGCAAAAGGAAAAGAGGAAGGCGAAGGAACACATTACGCCGAGAAATAGATATGATAGGAATGAACAAACATTGGATAGGACTGGAGAGGGAAGCCCAGGACAGAGTTGGTTGGAGAAAACTGCTGGGCGGCCTCTGCTCCATTGGGGGTAACAGACGAAAAAAGATGAAGAAGCCGATGTATTACAGATTAACGAATGCATGTGTATAGATTTTCAATAAACCAAAATCCTGTTTGTGAGTAATTATTCTGGTCTTTACACGATATATTTTCGCATGTAAAGTGGGTTTTCCGGACATTTAACTCATTTAGGTCATTACATGTGTATTTCGGCATTTACTTATATTCTTATTGCCTAATTTTCCAGGACCGCTGGAAAAGATGAATATTCCTTGGAAATTATTATGAATCATACGTCTCCCTAAAGGAGAAAAGAATTCCAGAAGCTGCTGCATAAATTGAGCTATCAGAAGAGAGTCTACCAACGTCACACACACTGGGTCTGAACTCCTGGCTGACCACGTCTTAGGATAATCACTATCTTACTAGGATGCAGTGAGCTGTGGTGTATCTCATCCCATTTTCTATGATAAAATTCAAAAATTTCTGAACCCATAGGTGTGTTTATGGTCTGGATCTTGTTACTAGTGTTTTGGAAACAGATATTCCCGTTTTTAGTGTTCATATAAACAAGGAAAATCACTCAGTACTCCAGGAGGTAAAGGAATTACTATCATTTAGAATCTTGTACGATACACACCTTAGGTCTCCTGACTTATTAAATAGTCCAATTGTGACTCGCGTTCTTCTTCACTACAGGTAGTCAAGATTACAAGGACTTTATTTAATGCACCAATAGTATGGCAGCATTTTGACCTTCAGGTGCACAGACATCCCAATAGTTTCTGGACACCCTGATGTCCAAAACTTACACCTTTGAATTATTAGTGATTTTATGCTAAATTCCTGTTTCCAATTAGTAAAATGTACAGGTCTGCATATGCCTAGTTATTTTTGGGTCTTCTCTTTGTTACTGTACGTGTTTTTATTCACACACTGAAGATATATGGTATTTATACATAACATGGTATATATACACGTGTTCAGGTAATCACTTACTTGATTGAAGCTCTGTCTATCAGCGCATTCAAAGAAAAGTTGTATCAATTGCCGAACCACCAGTGTCAGGACTAACACTATGGTTGTCACACTGAAACTAAAGTTCTTCTGACATCCATATAGTTTACGAATTTCCCATTTTCGGTGTGAAATTCAAGTATAGAGTATTCCATCTGCAACACTGCGTATATCCCTCGAATCGTCCCAGATACAACTTGGATAACTTAGTAGTGAGGGATTTAGGTAATTTACTTTACGATCGTAAATGAAATGCTTTTTTTGTCAGCTTAAAATAACTAGTGATTGCACTAGATATTTATCCTTCATGATACTGAGGACTTAGATATGGGTTTGTAGAGAATTGTGACGCTTTGTATCCACTATGTTTCTCACGTTGCAAACACACGGACATCCTGTAAAGCAATTACTGATATTCAGTATTAACATCACGTTTTCACAAGAAACCCACTAGCTTACAAGACTTCAGGGATTTATGCTGCTTGGGACCAACTTAATTATTTTTTACACTGTACAATAGTTAATGTAACTTGATTTTTTCCTGAGTAGTCGACTCTGACTGGTTAAATAAAAGCCATATAAATCTGACTTTCAAATACTCAGTATGTAAAACCAAAAGGAACTAATTGTTCGATCTCAATTTGTTTTTAAAATAGGAAACTCAACATTTATTAGGACTATCCGTAGTATTTCTTGTTAATTACTTTTGACACAGTTATAATATATTCCACTACCTAACTAACAGATGCTTCAGGCCCGTCTCCAAAATGTAATGAACTGTCATGCATTTTACACTAACAGTCCAGTGCAAAGGTTTTAATCTTTCTTTATTATTTTTCTCACATTAGATACATTGTACGATATGGACTAGATGATCGTTTGTCCAAGTTACTACATTGCTCATTAAGGTTGATAGTAAATTAGTGAGGTTAAAAACAACGAGATTGACACAAAATTAGTACCATTTATAGCAAAAAACGAAATACATTTTGGTAGGAATTAGTGATACTACAGAGTAGGAAGTATTTATTAATATTATGACTCAAGATTTACAAAAGATAGACAGACAGACGGATACAACTCAGAACTTCGTACATAAGTACATCAGTTCAGGTTGCCATACCACGTCAGCACAGAGACGTAACTGTCAAGTCCTAGCTAATGATGCCTGTTTCCCTATTTGACACAATGTCCGTACACTAAATGCTCAAACATGTAGTTTAGAACGGGGTTTAAGGAAACCAGGAACGACGTTTCGTGAACTCATCGTTTGCATTAGCGGTGCAGTGAGCTGAAGGAATGCGACCAGAGTTAGTCGTAGAGATAAGAAAGGTATTAGGGGGTGTAAGATGGATTCGATTTTGACCGATTCGGTCTCGTGTGCTGTTAAGGGTATGAGGGCGGTTATCACTTCCCGGCTGCCCACACCGTGGAAGGTTGTTTCTTGAGGAACCTGAAAAGGAAGGTGGATTAGAGTTGGTCTTTTAGACCTGGTTGCGTGACCGCAGAGCCCAAGGGACAACTGCTTGAGGACGGTCACTCACGGCCTTTCTATTAAAGGTTTTTTAGTATTAGCTCCACTCATGAAAGCCCTTGTTGGGCTCCCATACTACCAGGGACGGAAATCCGTGAGGTAGGATGAGGTGTGACATTTTTAGGGTCGACTATTTCTAACCCTTCCTTCCTTGTGAGAAGGTAGCATCGCTGCAGATACCGGTTGTCTGAGTGAAAAACCTTACTGCTGTCACACCCCTCTGCGGTCAGTCAGCAGTACGACTTCTCCCTCAGACCTTGAGTAGCTGCTTTTAGTCTGATCGTTCTCCAATCGACCTGCCTGGCATGGTAGAACCTTCAGGAACATATGTTCCAGCCAGTATAGCTCGGTCGGGTCATCACGATAGGCAAGCCCTACCACCACGTCAAGGTAGCAGCTACGGTCGGGATTTGCAAAAGATAAGTTTGTCTCCACTGCTTCAACTGTTCCCAAGCTGTTAGTGCCTTCAACCAAATATTTCGCTCATCACTTGGACTTCGAAAAAAAGAAGTGTGCACCTCTCCGAACGTCTCAGATTAGAAGTGCCTTCAGAAACTGATGTCATATCTGTCTGGTCACCCATTGCTTTCTTTTAATTTATTCTGAATTTGGTTTTCATTGGATAGATAGTCACCCAGACCATGTAGTTTAGCTCAACTGCCTCAGTCAGTGAAGTTTTGTCAACCTATTAGCCGTTCTCATATAATAACGCAGACTCAATCTCAGAGCTGCTCACTCCACATTTCTTCTTTACTCATGCCTGTGTATCTTTAAAGAAATCCTCCAAATTAACCCTTGTAGTATCAAATGATTAAGCTTTTGAAACTTTGTTTATTTTCAAAATATAGGTACATTTAAGCAGCTTAGCGGATCTGCCAAGCTCAAAAATGAATCCTGAAGTACCTCTGCCTCCTGGCTGGGAAATGAGACTTGATGAAAAGTCAGGGTACTTTTATTTTGTGGATCATAACACTCGATCTACACAATGGAAGCATCCTGTAACGAATCAAGAATATCCGCCTCTAGTAAATGGAGCTAACACAGCGAATTGTACGGAACAGGTTGGTTTCATGTAATATATATCATGGTTCCCATGTTAAGAATTCGTCTAATGAATGTGGCTCTAACCATGAAAGCAAAATTGCAGATATAATGTCAAAGGCACACTCATTACAGCCAAAAATTGATTCTTTTGATGGTGAGTATGCTTATTTAGAGTTTTACTTTTCATCTTCATATTCGCATTCTAACTTTATAAAAGTATCATTTTAAGCATATCAAGTAAATCAGTCCGGCTTTGATACTCTTTTCACTTTCTTCATTACCTAATGCCATGTTGTTTATTACTGATTTACTGAAGCATTTCTATTTGTTTACTGCTTGGTTATACTTTTTTAGAGGAACCATATATTTTACTGGTTTAAAAACATCGAAAATCACCACGAATTACTTGTCGGACTTTCTCCCTTCATTCCCTCAATTTGTAAAAGGTAGCACGGTGGATATTGTCTTACAGAAACAATCGTCAAAATTTGAATGGCTTGTCAGAAATTAGGGGAAGTCTTCAACAGAGTGTTACTAAACAGAATTAAAGATTCAGTAGACGTCCAACTTTGAGAATCAGGAGGCTGGATTCCGTAAGGATTGGTCGTGTGCCAACCAAATCATGCTTGACACTACGGATAATCGTGAAACAACCAATTGAATGAAATTCACCACTGTACATCGAATTCCGTGACTACGATAAAGCATTTGACAGCATTGACAGGATGACAATATGGAGGTTTTTTCAGCGTGCCTGAGAAGATATCCAATATTATGCAGAATTCTTATGATGCATTGAACTGCATCATGCGCGGACGACAACTCACAGACTCATTCTAAGTAAAGACCGGTTTCAAACAAGGCTGCTTACTCTCACCCTCTCTTTCTTCTGCTGCCTGACTGGATTATGAAGACGTCAACATATAAGGGGATGCACGGGGCACAGCGAACAGTTAAGGTGCAGCTGGACGATTTGGACTCGGCAGATGACCTAGCTCCTCTATCCGACACAGCAACAAATGCACATGAAGACAGCCAGTGTAGCAGCAGTCTCAAAAGTAAGATCCTCTAATATGATACAACATGCACCAACCAAATCGTACTTGAAGGAGAAGCTCTGGAAGATGTGGGAAATACGTACATGGGCAGCATCATAGACAAATAAGGTGGATCTGATGCCAACGTAAAGACACTATAATTAGGAAAGCAAGGGCAGCATTTCTACGATTGAAGAACATCTGATTCTTAAAACAACTGCTTTTCAGCTAACACCAAAGTCAGAATTCTGAATACGAACATCAAGATAGTTCTATTTTATGGAGTGGAAACTTGGAGAACTGCGAAATCTCAATGATACAGATGTTTATAAATGGCTGTTTACTCAAGATACTGAGGATCCGTTGGTCAGACACCATAATCAACAACCTAGTGTGGGAAAGAATAAACCGAATTCCGGCAAACGAAGAGATTAGAAAGTAGTCCTGGAGGTAGTTAGGACAGATTGTGGAAACCACACGATTGTGTCATGAGGCAAGCCGTATTATGGAATCCTCAATTCGAAAGGAAAAGGGGTGGACCAAAAAACACATTGAGCTGTGAATCGGATGTAGGCATTAAAAGAGTGAATATCAGTTAGATAGAACCGGGAAGGAGAGTAGAGGACAGAGTTAGATGGGGAATGTTAGTTCTCAGAGTATGCTCCACGAGAGGTAACAGGCATAAGTAAGTGAGTAATTCCACTATTTCGTTGCACACACCATTTTTATTTCTCTGTACTAATGGTGTATGAAAACGTGAACCGACATGAAAAGGTATCAGATTGTACGTTGTGTTTGACTGCCTGGTACCGCGTTCTGTAGCTGAGTGTAGCGGCTTCAGAGTATTTTTCTTCGGGTTCTATCAGCACCCCTTCAAAGGAAAAAAAATCACAACCAGTACAATTCCTACTTAAGCTGTCTCAAGAAAAAATTATTCTGTGGTGTGAGCACTTGGAAAGTGACAGCCACGCACACACTTTTAAAAGCGCTCAAGATATCCCTTATTAACTGTCTCAACATAATTCTGTTTAAAAGTTGGCTTGTTTGACATACTCTTCAAATAGTGTGTCATAGCTGCTACCTTGACGTGGTGGTAGGGCTTGACTATCGTGATGACCCAACCGAGCTATACTGGCTGGAACATATGTTCCTGCAGGTCCTACCATGCCAGGCAGGTCGATTGGAGAACGATCAGACTAAAAGCAGCTACTCAAGGTCTGAGGGAGTAGTCGTACTGCCGACTGCAGAGGGGTGTGACAGCAGTAAGGTTTTTCACTCAGACAACCGGCATCTGCAGAGATGCTGTTTTCTCACAAGGAACGGAGGGTTAGAAATGGTCGACCCTAAAAATGTTACACCTCATCCTGCCTTACGGATTCCCGTCTCCGGTAGTAAGGGTGCCCAACAAGGGCTTTCGACAGCGGAGCTAATACTCAAAAATCCTTTCATAAAACGGCCGTGCGTGACCGCCCTCAATCAGTTGTCCCTTGGGCTCTGCGGTCACGCAGCCAGGTCTCTAAGACCAACACTAATCTATCTTCCTTTTCAGGTCCCTCAAGAAACAACCTTCCACGGTGTGGGCAGCCGGGAAGTGATAACCACCCTCATAGCCGTAACAGCACACGAGACCAAATTGGTCAAAATCAAATCCTTCCTACACCCACACATACCTCTCTTCTCTGACTGACATTTAATATTAAATATGCAAAATCTGTACTTGGTTAATGAGTAAATGTTACCAAACATATTTTCACATTTCTACTTTTATCTATAAAAGGTACAGCTCAGAGTAAAGAATACTTACAACTTATGGAGAACTTAGATCAATTAATATTAAGTTTGGATACTTTAAAAAGTGATGGAAATGAAGATGTTCGATCGATGCGACGAGATGCAATCAAAGAAATTCAACAATTAATTGAAATGTTAGAATATCGTGCATCGATTTCTAGCGAAAATGCAACAACGTCTTAAGTGAACTAACTACTATGTGATTTAAAATGTTTCAATATTTATGAATTGTTTGCTGTTATTGCTTTTTTTTTCATTTTAGTGGGTAAGTTAAAACTCTTTGTTTGTTTGTTTGTTTTTAGTTGGTTAAAATTTTGTGAAGAATTTGGAAAAAAAAATAATTTTCCGAAAATTCCAATGGATTATTAGTGTCAGTTCTCTTAGGATTCTAGCCATATAGGATTTCAGAGATTATAAAGAATGAATGCACTTGCGCCATTGTAAACAATTTTGAGCCATGTTACTCAACGTCTCTAACCATCGGTGACTTTCATCTCGTAGGTCCCAACCAGGTATTCGACACCTACCGACATGGCTCAGTCCACTTGTCAGTTGCTGCATGGATTTCTACCATGTTTTGATCTAACCGCTCTTAGATTTCTTCCAGCCTACTCCTGCACCACAAAACATAGCTCGACGAGGCAGTCGGTGGTTGGGCATACGTAACACATGTCCCAACCACCTCAACTGATGAAGTTTCACTACTTCATCTATTGATTTGCCATCCTTACCTAGTACTCGTTTCCTAACGACAGCATTGCTTACTTGGTTGTCCCAGGATACACGAGCAACGATTCGGAGACATCTATGATCGAATACTAGTAACCTACAAATATCTTCTACTCTCACTGGCCATGTTTCACAGGACGAAGCGAAATACTGCGCAGCACACTCGTCATTTAGTCAGCAAACGGATATCTCGACTACGCCATAAGTGACGCAAGTTAGAGGAATATGATAAGCTGAAATAATGTTATACTTTCAATCATCTAGTACTCTCGAAATATTTCATTCTTTTGCATATGATCATGTTTGTTTATCAATCGAAGAGTTCTGAACTTCACAGTACAATCGTTTAAATTCACATATTTGTTACCAGATGTCATTACTCTTTATCTATCTCTGTGATATCTCAAATGTTTTTAGTGATATATATTTTTGTTGAAATCATGAATCAATCATGGTTAGACCATTATTAGAAACCTGGAAGCACTGAATAACTGTTTCATCCTACTATAGGACTCATCAACAGTGCTCATCCGCGCTTGCGCTAATCGAACCTAGAACATTCGGATTTGCACTCGCCAGCGCTTAACTTCTTGATCAATCAGTAGGCATTTAATGGCATTCATGTCTAAATTTAATCAATCCAAGGTATTGCGCAACATCACCTATTGTCTTCGGTAGGTAACTGCCTCTATACCCAACAGGGTTGAACTCCATCTGTCTCACAACTTTTTACTAGCAGTAAGAGAATCTCCTCACCAAGATAGTCACTCTACTCAAGCACTACTAACTATGATCGATTCATGATTTCAGTAAAACTCAACAATCTTCACAGCTGTTTAATGAAAATTATATTTATTTATTTTAGCAAATGTGAATCCATTGATATTGGCCAATTCGACATGTGTACATTTATGAATATATATATATATATATATATATATATATACCATCTCTGCTCCCATTATTTCATACTTGTATATAACAATATATTTATTATGATGCTTGTTTCTACTTATTTCTAATTGGGCATTTTATTCACTGTTGCTCTTGCTTGTTGCATCTGCCTTTCTTAAAAATAAAATTGGAAAAGAAATAAATAAACGATTTAACGAATAGTTCTAGTTAGCTCTCTTCCTTCCTTCCTTCCTCGCACTTTCTCTCTCTCTCTCTCTCTTTATGTACTATTATTTTCCAATTGTGCACTTTAAATTGGTACTTAATAATCATTATGATTACCATTATTATTATTATTATTATTATTATTATTATTATTATTATTATTATCGTTGTACACGTGTTGGGTGTTTTATCATATATATATATATATATAATATGAAGTGTCTTTCAATTGTCATAGAAGCGTGAATTATTTTGAAAAAAAAGGATTAATAAAATATTTCGATTTGGTTTGTTCTTTTCATTGCGTTCAGCAAATTGTGTCAATCAAAATTCCACTGTATAGTGTAGTGTATTCTATATATTTTTTTTCTCTAAAACAAAGTCATTTTTTTCTCTGTGTGTACTGTTTTCAGTACTTTTTTTTTGTGTGTGTGTGTGTGTGTGCTTCCATTCGTACACAATACACTTCAACCTCGACGCGTATGGTTTCAACTGGCTTCTTGCTTGTTGCTATTCTTTTGTTATTGATGTTTGTATCGTTGGTAGTTGTCTTCGTTCGTGCGGATCCCCCTATATATATATATATTAGCTATATAAGTATACACTTTGTTGAATTCTTTTCTTCCCAGTTTGTACTTTTTTTGGAAATTTTCAGTTTTTATGTAGTCAGTTATGCTGTTGTTTGTTTTAATTTCTTTCTGTTTTTTTTTCTATATTTATGGAAAGTATGTCCCATTTGGATTGAATATAAGCTTGTTTTTAATTACTATACATGGGATTTATTTTATCTCGACCGTAGCTCCTGCTTTTATGTGGTGGTAGGTCTTGCCTATTGTGATGCCCCAACCGAGCTATATTGGCTGGAACATATGTTCCTGAAGGTTCTACCATGCCAGGCAGGTCGATTGGAGAACGATCAGACTAAAAGCAGCTACTCAAGGTCTGATGGCGAAGACCTACTGCTGACTGTAGAGAGGTGTGGTAGTAGTAAGGTTTTTCACTCAGGCAACCGGCATCTGCAGCGATGCTTCCTTCTCACAAGGAAGGAAGGGGTTTGAGAAGGTCGACCCTTTAAATGTCATGCCTCACCTTACCTCACGGATTTCCGTCTCTGGCAGTACGGGCTGCCTAATAAAGGCTTTAACAAAAGCGGAGCTAATACTCAAAAAACCTCTCATAAAAAGTCCGTGCGTTACCGCCAAACTTGTGGCGTAGATGACATATCCGTTTGCTAACCAAAGGATGAGTCCATCGCACATCATTTTGCTCCGTCCTAATCTGTGGATGGGAAATATGGCCATTAAGAGTAGAAGATATTCGTTGGTTACTGGTTTTCGACCATCGGTAGCGAAAGGCAACAGTAGGCAACTACTATTCAGCCTCATCAAGGAAATTGGTATTAAGAATCCGAATGTTAGTGAGACTATCTCGGAAAAGGATTGGACTATTATTCATTCTCAATCCAGGAGACTGGATCGATGGGCAGAACACTTCAGGAATCAGTTCAACTGGCCTTCAGCCACACTTCGGTTACCCACGATCTCCAGTCATCCTGAATAGCAAGTTGACGTAAGCCCTCCGAACCTTCATGAAGTTGAAAAGGCTGTAGAGAACCTGAAGCGAGATTCTTATGGATAGTGGTCCAGTTTTAGCAGCTAGATTGACTGAGATCTTAGTTAGAATCTGGGAACTGGACGTAATCCCATCTGGCTGGTTTTAATTTTAGATTGTCCCAATTTATAAGAAGGGACAAAAGTCTTGTGACAATCACAGAGTAATCAGTCTAACTAATATAGCGCCTAAATTGTTAACCTCAATGATACTCAGACGCCTAGCTAGAGCTCGTTAAGAGCAGACTCGAGAAAACCAGGCTGGTTCCGGACCTGGACGTGACTGAATAGACCACATCTTCACACTACGACAAGTCCTGGGACACAGGCATACATTTAGTTGTCTTCCTGGACCTTAAGGCAGCATTTGACTCAGTGGATCGTGAGGTTCTGTGGCAGTGTCTGTCATTTAAAGGTGTACCAAGGAAGTATGTTGACTTTATACGAGCTCTCTACTCGAATATTACTGGCCGAGTTGGAGCTTATGGCGAACTGTCATCGGAATTCTTTGCTTCAAGTGGTGTGCGTCAGGGATGTCCACTTTCTACATTCTTGTTCAATTTTGTCATAGACATGCTCCTAGATATAACATTATCTTCGTCTGAATTTTCAGGAGTCAGCTTTATACCAGGAGGCTCGCTTATTGACTTAGAATATGCCGTTGACATGGTTCTATTCGGTGAGGACGCTGAAAAAATGCTGAGTCTTATGACCACCCTAAGCACGTTCGGGATGTGGTTTTCCTACTCGAAATGCTAAATGTTGCTTCAAGATTGGGTTTCATCGGTAGCTGAACTAGTGATAAGGAGTGAAGTAGTTGAGCGTGTTGACCGCTTCACTCATCACGGTAGTCTGATCAGTGCTGATGGCCTGGTGACTGACGAAATCTCAGCTCGGATACAGAAAGCTCGATTGGCTTTTGCCAACCTGCGTCACTTATGGCGTAGTCGAGATATCTGTTTGCTGACTAAATGACTAGTGTGCTGCGCAATATTTCGCTCCGTCTTACTATATGGCTGTGAAACATGGCCAGTGAGAGTAGAAGATATTTGTAGGTTACTAGTATTCGATCGTAGGTGTTTCTGAATCATTGCTCGTATATCGTGGGACAACCGAGTAAGCAGTCCTGTTGTTAGGAAACGAGTTCTAGGTAGGGATGGGAAATCAATAGATGAAGTAGTGAAACTTCATCAGTTGAGGTGGTTGGGACATGTGTTGCGAATGTCTAATCACCGACTGCCTCGACGAGCTATGTTTAGTGGTGTAGCAGTAGGTTGGAAGAAATCTAGGGGCGACCAGAACAAAACATGGCAGAAATGCATGAGGTCACTGACAAGTGGATTGAGTCATTTTGGTAGATGTTGGCTACCTGGTTTGAGTGTGCGAGTCAAAGTTCACCGATAATTAGAGACCTTGAACTACATGACTCAAAACCGTTTGCAATGGCACAGATGCATCTGTTCTTTGTGTTCTCTCAGATTCTAGTCTTCTGAATCCATCATCTCTATCTTTATTTTCTTAAATTCATTTTATTGAATTATGTTTCTTGAATGCTATCGTCGAATCCTGATCTTTTCGATTACCGCCAGTACTTCTACTATGTGATTTGAATTGGCAGTTGCGTCTCTGTGCTAATATGATATGGCAACTTGAGTTGATATACATACGTACGAAGTTATACGTTGTAACTGACTGACTGATATATTTTATGAATTTGTATCTGGTGACAGTCCATGCCAATTGTCAATGATACCTCGCTGTGTGTGCTGTTGTGGTATGCTCGTATGAATGGATGTAAACATGTACCAGATCCTGTGGATCATTTCGAGCCGCTTAACATTTATCATTTTAGGTGATTGTAATCGCTGTGGTAAAACACCGAAGCCTTTAACTGTTAACTGTTAAATTTGTTTGAGTTATGCTATACGATATAATGGAGACTAATATTACATCAGGAAATTAACAGTTTTAGAAATGTATGCAAGATTTTAATTTTTTCTTAATGTAGACGTTAAGGTAAGGTTCCCATAACTAAATAAGATATGAAGTATACTGTTATTTAGGTTTCACAATTTAATAAAACTTTATATCACGATTTTTAGCTTCAATAAACAGAGTATATGCTAACATTTAACACTACATGATTCTGTTATGTTCTAACACTGACCGATCAGTAAGCATTTCTGGCAATCAATACGCAACAACAATGACAAGAAACGGATACTCTAGGATTGACGATTAACCCAGCACTAATTAATCCCAAATGATGAGGAAGAAAACAAGTCTGAAATGGTTATTTTATAATCGTACAACAGATCAATTGGCTGACAATATTAACAAGACATGACATTACTGATGATGGAACAAATACATAGTAATGAGCACGCAAATATTCGGTCCTAGTTTATGAGTGGAAGATGATATAGCATTAATTTACCTACTTATTTATGCCTGTCACCCTCAATGAAGTATAGGTCGCTGACTAGCATTCTCGAGCCTACTCTGTCTTATGCTAACCTTTCTAGTTCTGTCTATATGTTGTTCATTCTCCTATTCCATTTCTCGGCGTGATGTGTTTCTTGGCTTTCCTCTTTTCCGTTGGCCTTGAGGATTGTAGGTATGGATTTGTATTGTGACTCAGTTTGGTTCTCCGTAATGTGTGTCCTATCCACTTGCTCTTCTGGAATGCTTGTTTGTTCTAACCCCGCATTAATTCACGGTTCAAATAACAGCTGGAGTGATACGAAAATAAAACGAACACAATAAATCTGCTATCATTATATATATATATCTATAAATAAAACTTTAGGGAAAATAGCTTCTAAAGTTTGTTATCTGTTAGTTAAATTGTTTCTCACAGATACAATGTCCTATTACACTTTACTGGTCCTGTCGTTATGACTTTATCCTTAACTAGCTACCAATCAATCAATCAATAGCAACGTAGAACTTCGTACGTACGTACGTACATCAGTTCACGTTGCCATACCACGTTAGCACAGAGATGTAATTGTCAATTCAAATCCAATAGTACGAGAGGTATTAGTCGGAGAAGTTAGGACTAGAAGATATTAAGTAACTAGCTACCGAATATCTTCGATCCCTAATGTTCTCCATTACCACGAATTCTTCTACTATGTCTCCACCAATATGAGATTTGAACTGACAGTTGCGTCTCTGTGTTGATGGGGTATGGCAACCTGAGCGTCGTAACTGGCTGACTAACTGAGCTACCGAATGAATTATCATTTCCGTTGATTTGGAATATGAATAGGGGAGTATGTCAATTGATAATCAAATTATCTGACGTAAAAAATTAAAGTTTGTACATCAATCGACAAAGTGACATTTTAATGTGTATTAGACGGTAGTTGTTGTAATCCTTCCTAATTTAATCTAAGTTTTTAGTTAAGTTATTGAACAAGAATAATGATTCTGAAAATGGTGAATTTAAAACCTAATCAGATGAAATATCTATTCACTAACCACATGAATTTCTACAATTTTTGCAATCCCTCACATATGTATTAAA